CTCACATTACATTGCTCAATTTGTCTCATACACTAACATATCACATATTTATGGGGCATTGATTGCATCTTTAAATATTGTCTCTATACCCAAGCGTTGGCAGGTAGCTAAGGAGGATCTAAACTGGAAAACTGTCATGTTGGAGAAACTTGGTGCTCTCGATAAGAACAAGATGTGGGAGCTCACGTTGTTGCCAACAGGAAAAGAAGCAATCACGTGAAAATGGGTCTTCACAGTGAAACAGGCCCCAAAAGGAAAAATTGATCGCTACAAAGCACGGTTGGTGGAGAAAGTGTATAATCAAACGCATGACATTGATTATGGTGAAATATTTGCACTAGTGGCAAAAATAAGCACAATCAGGACATTTGTCTCTCTATTGTGAATGGTAGATAGATGTTACACCAACTGAATGTGAAGAACGTCTTTCTTTATTGGGATCCACTAGAGGGGGTGTGCATGGAAATACCCCTAAGCTTTGACACAAACTAAATAGTAGGCAATATATTTAGACTGAAGAATTCACACTACATTTTGAAACAAACTCCTCAAGCTTGGTTTGACGGGTTTAGGGGAGCAATGGCAGGCATGGTGTAATAACTTATTTTGAAAATTTTGATAAAAATTTTGATGACCTAAAATATACCTCAAATTTTGAATCCCTTAAATTTCAATCAAAATAGTTTTATAAAATTCTACACGAAAAATCAATCAATTTGATATATAATATTATATGAATTGAAAGTTAAAAAAAAATCAAAAGTTATAAGTAAATTAAATTAATTATACCTAATTATTTCCTAAACTCTCGTACCCTCACTATAGCCACCGACTTAAACCATGTGATATTTAGCCTGAGAAGCATTGAACCGTCCAAAGCACTCAAAATTTCTCCTTCCCTCTCCCAATACTCCTCTCCCTTCCTCTTGGTTTCGTTCGCAGGCTCTCCCTCCCTCTCGGTTTCACTTGGCAAAGGAGATCCCAAAGCTTTTGCTTAGGCCACTGTAGCAAAAGCGAACAACAAGGGCGAGCGGTGACTGGTAAGCTATAGAGTGTCGAATCCCATTTCCCCTCTCCTGATTTCTTCTTCCCTCAAGAGTAGCACTCGGCTACTGAAGCTGCTCGAACCAAGTGGCCTGCACAGATCCACAAACAACATTTTAGGGCTCTGGGATGAAATCTTAAGTACAAATCCTTGTCTTGTTATTTGAGACAATCATTGCCTTCCTCTTGTTTCCATTTTGAGATTTGTCTCACTTTCCATGCATTGTTTGTTTCCTGTAGTCGTTGAAGACAATGATTTTGCAACAAAAGTGTTGAGTGTGGCTTGCGAGTTTTCATAAGGGATTCCAGCACAAATTTAAGAAGGTTAAGAGGGAGTAAACAAAGTTAAAAAGAAGAGAAGAAAATTTGGCAGCTTTGGATAAGGGTTGGTTGCTGAGAAGACTGTTTAAAGTATGTTTTGACAAATCAATTATATTTTTTAGCTTAATTGCTTTACGAGCCAAGATATAATTAAATCCGAAGTTAATCGTGGGTTTCATGTTGTTTACCTGAGGAGGCGAGTTCGAGTCAAGTGTGCAAAAGATCAACGTAGGTCGACTATGTTAAAATTCAGGTAAATTAATCCTAAAATAAAAAAAAATTAATTCCATTAATAGAAATTGCTTAAATCTTAAAGTTTAATATTACATTTTATAGGTTATTAAGCTCAACATAAAAGACACTGCAACCTCCAACTAGATATCGAAGATTAAGATTTTAACATGACAATCGAGGTAAGTAATTACATTTCTAAATTTCAGTAATTATCTTTATTTCAAAGTATATTTTTGACCCTATGTATGATACGTAAGATATGAAAGATAAATATGATAGAAAACATGTATACAAGATAAATATGATAGAAAATGATATGCATGATATACAAGATGTGCACAAGATTAGAGATATGCATGATGATAGTTGTGCAACAGAGTAAGAGTGAGCATATATGTTAGTAGATGCAAAAAGATATCTCAGAATAATACATGTATGAAGAATAATATAGTTAATATATGGATGTTTGTACATATATGTTCAAAAAATGATTTCACTCCCTAATGATACTGACAGGGGAAGCTATTATACCTGTATGCGTAGAGTTTTTCTACTATCTCAGATAATTGTGATGGTTAGTTCACTAACCGCTATGTCGACAAGATAATATCGTCCAGAGGCGAATAGACCAGAGCTTACCCCCTCAGATAATTGTAATGTTTACATTACTAATCGCTGTGTAGACGAGATAATATATGTCAGGGACAAGACAATTGTGATGTCTAGAACGCTAACAATTATACCAACGGTATCCAACGAGACAATATCAATCAAGGGTGTGTTATGTTATTGACAGGAATCCTCACAAAGACAGATGTATATGTAAAGTATAGAATAAAAATAAAGTTAAAGTAAATATTTATAGAAGATTGAGTATGTAATTTAAAAAACTATCATTGATACATGTATTAGCATATATCAGATTTCACTGTTCGACCGTCCGTCCCGTCTAGGTTAACTCCAAGCCTCGGGTCGAGTCATGACACACGGGTCATCTACAGATCAATGTTGACCACATCATATTCTTTCAACGCATGATGGTCACATTATCATACTTGTTGTGCATGTGGATAATATGATTGTCACTGATGATTCTGAGGGAGAGATTGCTCAGTTGAAGACAAGTCTGGGCAAAGAGTTTGAAGTGAAAGACTCGGGACAGTTTAGATACTTCCTTGGGATTGTGGTGACTCATGGAGCAAAGGGGATTATTCTATCTTAGTGGAAGTATGTGCTAGCCTTGCTCAAAGAGCCAAGACTGTTGGGAAACCTAAAGTTTCACCAATTGATTCGAAGAAAAACTTGAGCACAGAGGCAGAAGAAGCTGTGGTATGTCGTCTCATCCATCTGAGTCACACTCGTCCTGACATATCTTTTGCAGTAAGTGTGGTGAGTCGCTACATGTATGATCCGAAGAAGAGTCACATGGATGCGGTGTATCAGATTTTAAGGTACCTAAAGAGTGCAAATCTTCATAAAATTGAGCATTTAGGCATTGAGAGCTACTGTGACTCTGATTGGGCTAGCTGTGTTGAAGACATGAGGTCCAAATCAAGAAATTGCATGTTCATAGGAGGCAATTTGGTTTCATGGAAGAGCAAGAAGCAGTCGGTAGTTGCAAGGTCAATGGCAGAGGCATAATACAGGGCCATGGCCTTCAAAGTTGTCGAGATGTTATGGCTAAGAGCTCATTTAATAGAGCTCAATGTAGACCAAGGAGCTCAAATGAAGTTGTGGTGCGACAACAAGTCAGCAATCAGCATTGCCAACAGTACGATGCACCCTCTGCAGCACCGACACTTCTAAAAATGTGTCGTACCCAGCACATATCGAACACTAACACTTATCTGACACGCCCCAACACTTCTCTGACACTACAAAATATATGTCTGAATTTTTTTCAGGTCTGAACATGTACCTGACACACCTCAACATCGGATCAGACAAGAGCTTAACATGATTTCAAGAAAATGGGACATAAGAATTAGAAAACTATAAAAATACATATAGGCTTAATTAAAACTTATAGTCAACACCTACACATCTCTCGTCATGTTGAGTTCCCTCTAACATTTATCAAAATTTAGCATAGAAGGTACATACAATATTCGAAACCGAGCATTAGTAATTCCTTCTTTGAAGCCATAAAACTTTTTAAATTTTGGTAGATAAGCGGGATTATAAGTTGAATGAATTCTTTTGAAACATATATCCAATTTTAAAAATTATTTTTCATAAGCATGAGATTTTATAATATAAATTAAATTTATAATAAAGTTAAATTTTATTCTTGCACAATTTGTATAATGATATTTTTAATAAAGAATAACAGAAAAATATGTATTCTGTATTAGTAATTAATTAAATATAAAGACATATCAATGACATGTCGTGTCCCATGTTTGTCAATTATGTTTTGTCCCCATATAGTGTCGTGTTACTATTCGTGTCCCCGTGTCTATGTTCGTGCTTCATAGGGTGCAACAAGACAGAACCAAGCATGTGGAGATTGATAAGTTCTTTATCAAGGAGAAGCTGAATAGTGGCTACCGGAGGAAAGATGGGAGAAAGAAAGAGGTTGTGTGATAAGATGGGCTTGATGGATATCTTTTGCCCATCTCAAGGGGAGTTCTGAGAATTGTATATAGTTTAGGTACCTATTTGTAAATAGAAAATATAGAAGATATCAAATTTTATTTGTATAGAAAGTTTTAAGGCTATATATAAGCCAAAGTCTTTCATGAATAGATGAGATTTTTCTTTAAGCTAAACATTTCAATTATAACTAGCCTTATTAAGCGGAAGATCAAAATTTTAAATTTTTACAAATAAACTTGCCTTGAAAATTACCACCTCTTTCTAACAAATGACACTGTAGAAAATCTCCATGTTCTTCAAATACATTTTATAGTAGAATGAATCTGAAAAATTAAATAAGCCCTTCTCTATTTGTAAGACCTGGCATGTGGAGTTGCCAACTCTGGCATTCATATCCCTCTGGTTAAAATTTAAGTTACAAGCTTGCTGTTTTCTACAAGGAAAAAACACTTTTCCGCTAGACAAGCCATCATTAAGGACTGGAACATTATTACTGGTATAATCTGGAGACTTCACCATTCCAAAAGGCATTAAAATATAATGGACTATCACCAAAACTCCCAACAAAAAAACAGAACCAAAAATATATATATATATATATATAGAGAGAGAGAGTTCAAGTTAAACACTACAATAACTTGCATCTTATTAGCTAAAAACTTTGCAAACATTGTACATCAAATTAAGATAATGTACTCCTTGATCCCTATATTGACTGACCATTAACAATGTCAGAAACATGAAGAGGGATAAAAAAGAGCACTCAACTACCCAATGATGGAAAGTAGGAGCTAGGAACTTACGCTTTGGCCAAATCAACTTGAAATTTGATCCCATTCTCTATAACTGTAGTAACAACAGAATGGTTGCCTGCCAGTATTTCTAGTTGCATTGTTCTATAATCATTTTGAATAGCTTCTAATTTGTTCACAACTGTTTGTATTTTTGGCCTGTTCTTGTCAAGAACTACCTGAATAAAAAATGCAACTTTGCTCATTTGACAATCTACCGCAAATTAATCATATAATAGCGTAAACAAATTTACATTCAGAATTTCCTTAAGATTTAGGTATTCGAGCTTTGTATTGTTGATTAGACTTTTGATCAATACGATTAAATTACAAACCTGCGCAATAAGTTTCTTGTAAGGAATGTGTTCTTCACCTAAATTTAAGTGTGCAATATGCCCCACTGTCTCAAATCCAGTTGGAACAACTATACCTTCAGGAAGCAAGGTGTCCAAAACCTACAAGCAAATTAAGGATCAATGACATTAGAAATTTATGTCTTACGTAACTTTTGAAGGCATAAAAAAAGCATTACATGCAGAAAACAAACCTCATTCATATGCCAATAGTTATAGAACAAGGTTAACTCGCACCGTACAAGCTCACAAACTGATAACTTGCAAGGCATTTTCCCTCCTTTCAGAACTGCCTAGACAGGGAAAACAAAATCAAATTACTATTAATCAGTGTTCTAAGAATCTGGTGAGCTGATCATCAAATATCATCCATTACATCAGTTCCAAATTCATAAATGATTCAGATAAGCCCAGACAGAATACAGATTCCAAGCAATTAAAATGAAGTGCAAAATATGAGAAGTGCGTCCTATTGGGCATTATCTACCCAGGCTCAGCTCGTGTTCGGCTAGTTTATATCTCGAGCTAAAAAAGTGTGTTCGTGTTCGGCTCGTTTGCTTAGCGAGCCAAACAGCTCACCAGCCGAACACGAGCCGTTCACGAACAAAGAGTCATTTTGACAACCCTAATCACGTAGCCATAAGATGTTAAGGATTGGGGTAAGATTTAAAACATCATTTGAATCTAATATAATAATTTTTATTCTATTTTCTTCATTAATACTTTTAATTGATTATAAATCTTTGTAGCCTTGTAGTCAATTAAATTTTTAAAAAATACTACTCATCAAAGATATATCTATAATTGATTGGTAGTATTTCAAGCTAAAACGAGTTGAACACGAACAACACAATTTAGTGTTGTTCGTGTTCGGCGTTAACTTAGCGAAAGAGTCAAACACGAGCTTCTTAACAAGCTGAACACGAGCTGTTCGCGAACAACGAGTCGTTTTGACAGCCCTATCGAGGTGATCATAACATAATTTTTTAAGATATACTCATTATAAATGCCAACATTGGATCACTCTCTCCTTCAATCATTTCATTCATTACAATTGTCAATTTTGCTCATCAAGCATGGAAAAATCTCATAAGTGTAACAAACCCTCTCATGATCGTCTACTACAACTTTAAGGCAAACTACGAAGTGTGAAATACTCCCAAAGTCTCTCAAAGTGTTACTGAATTCCTTCAAGTGGTGAAAGATTTGGCAATGAACTTGCTCCGCTTGCAAAACAAGATGATGATGATGATTCTAATTTTGATCCAACAAAAAAAAATCCATCAATGGTTTTTTCCCTGAATACAAAGATCTCATCTCAGCCATAAATGCTCAAGACACTTTGAGCTCCTTACAATAACTTCATGAAAACTTTTCTAATTTGATGCCAATCTACATTACAAATCCAAGAAAGATGTAACTGCCTCACCATCTGACAAACTCACCAGTCAACTTTTAAAAATCAAATTTGCACCCACAACATCAAGGCCAACATTGGTAAACCTGACCACAGCCGCAACCTTAGCAGTCTCGATCATCATGCCTACAACTTTCAACGGTCTTAGCCCTGAATACAAGGATCTCATCCACAAATCAACAACTGAGACACTTCAATTTCCTTACACAATAACAACATGAAAACTTCTCTAATTTGATGCCAATCTACATGACAAATCCAAGAACGATGTAACTACTCCATGAACTAACAAATTGATACAAGAAAATCAAGACTCAAAATTGCAACTATTATTACGAGAGGCCACAAGATTTTAATGATGACTCTTCAACGGGAAATAACATAGCACAGGTAAATAGTAAACGACAAAGAGTCTTGTTGAAATTAAGGAAAAGGCAATAACATAGAACAGAAACAACCTTCTGCGATGGATACGGCAGGGCAAGGGTGGAACAGTGGAGTTGGTGGTTGCGGGTAACAGACCGAAAAGGCCGGTGGCTGCTGAGAAGAGTCTGACAGGTGGCCTAAAGGTGTTGGAGAGGAATAGCGGCCTACTGGAAAGAAACCAGAGGGGGTAACAAGGCTGGCAGGCTGCTGGGAGGGCCAGTCTGGACAGGGAGGTGTTGGAAAGGCTGCTAGTAGGTGGTCGATGAGGAAGACAATAGTTGGACGGAGTCTTAAGGGAATGAGCAGGGCTGGCAGCAGCGGAAGAGGGTTGTGGATGCTGGACGGAAGCAGGAAGGTGGCTAAACAGGAGAAGCGTGAAGGTGGCTAACAGCAGTAGAAGAGGGGGTTGTAGTGGCTGGATTCTGAAATGGAAGCAGGAAATGGAAGTATGGTAAGATAAATGTCTTGTTGGGGTCAAGGGACAGTCGGAGCACCACTCGGATCATTGGAGACAGTCACCACCTAGGTTGACGGATATTCGGAGCACTTCTTCGTCTTCGACGGTAATCTAAATTTAGAAATTGCTTAACTCCAAAAATTGAGAAACTCCAAGAATACCACCTCTCATTTATAATGAAACTTAGGATTTATTTTAGAACATGTTTTAGAATCAGAAAAAGAATAAAATAATAAGAATTCATAATTTAGGCAACGTTTATAATACGAAGAATTCAGAATAGGCAGAGACTAAAAATAATAGAAATTCAGAATTGGCAAGTGCTAGGAAGAAGAGATGAGAAAAGGAAAGAGGGAATATGAGGAAAACGAAGGACTGGCCAGTCCAACCAAGCTGGACCAAGAACAAGTCGGCTCCCATAGCCCTGCATCAGTCTCCTGAGGTTAGGGAGCATCAACCTCATTCGTTGAAGCTTTTGGTTCCTTGTCCTTAATCCTGACAGCACCAAGATCTCATTGTTGACTGTACTGTCTCCCAAAGCACTTGCTAGCGTGCCTCCATCTCGATTCAATCTTTTGGGACTAAAATTCCCGCATTGTGGTCGCCGTGGTGGTAAAGAATCGATTGTGATATCCTCAAATGCTCTTTCTCGTGGTTGTCCCCTGTCCGGAGATAGTGCTCAAACCTCTCATCCAATGTTGTCACTAAAATCGGTCACGTTGCTCTGCTGGTAAGGGCTCTTGTATCCTCAGGCTTCGTCGAAGGAAGTAGAATGATGTGTTTTCCATTCTTGGTGAAGGAATGTGTTTCTGAATTCATTGTGTTGGGTCTTCCGGTCAAACAGCTACGGTCTTCCTAGCATAAGGTAGCAAGCACCCATGGAGATCACGTCACATCAAACATGATCCTACAGTTGAGTCCCTATCAAAAACTCTACTAGGCATTACCGATCAATGCTAACCCTATTTTCCTTCTTCAGCCACATCAGTGAATATGGTTGGGGATACCTCAGAGTCATGAGTCTCAATTTCTTTACCATTTGAGTCGATGTCACATTCTTATTGCTTCCATCGATGATGAGATAACATACCTTCCTGTTTACGGTGCATCGAGTGTAGAAAATGTTGTGATGAAGCCACTATGAATCCCTTGTATTAATATCAATCTGTAGGACCCTTCAAATAATAAGAGTATATCCTTCATATGGAGGAAGATGATGTATCTCACATTGGTCCTCAGTTGTCAGCTCCTCGCCGACCTCTTCCACAACGCCCTGCTCGGTAAAAGATACAACTTGGCTTGTCGGTCAGCTAGAGGCTATGTTCCCAAATCCATGACAACTGAAGCATTTTCTGGCAAGTATTGTGGTAGGCTTCTTCTCACTAGAGGTGGCTTTAACTGTATCAGGACTATTTTTCTCAACTCCTTGTGGCGTGCTCCTGTCGGTGTCTCCAGCTGTGGGTGGTTGTCTAACCGGTGATGGTTGTCAGAATTGCTTATATTGCCTCTCCACTTTCAATGCTAGTGTTTGGACATCCCCCAACGTTCAGTACGGCTATAGCTACACCACATTACTAATACTAGGCTTCAAGCCCCCAAGATATCTGGCGACTATATTCTTTTCTGGCTCTATCAGATCGCACTTCAGTGGTAAGTGGTCAAACTAAGCTATGAATTCCTCCACTGAAAGGTCCCTCTGCTACAGATTATGGAGTTTCAGAAACATGTTCTGGTAGTAATCAGAGGGAAGATATTTCTTCCACATGGTTTTCTTCATCTTCTCCCACTTGATAATCTTATCGTTGCCTTCTCGCCTCCTTTGTCATTGTGTGTTCTCACACCATAGGAAGACACTTTTCTTCAATTTGATAGCAACTAAGTTGATCCGCCCTCTTCGGACACCTCTTTGTATTTGAAGATCTGCTCAATTCTCTGTAGCCATTCAATGAATTCATCTGGATCCATGTCACCCTCAAATTCGAAAAAATCCACCTTGATTCTAGGTCTAGCAATTCTCTAAATGACATCTCTTCTCGAAAAGTTTCCTTGTGGGAGGGATACCTGAATCCCTCCCCAAGTCTCCTTTGATACTGAATTTCGAAATGTCATGGCCTATCTTCTTCATCGCTGAAATTATCCCAATAGAGGGGATTCAGATCCTCTTCTCTCTCTCCCTTTCAACTCTCCAAGTCTCGGCCGACGATAACTTCTTCCTGTGCCATCTCTTTAATCTTTGCAAGTCTCTGTTGGAGGCGACAAAGCTCTCGACGTGTCTCTTTCCGAGTAGGTTCAGGCATATTTCTTCTTAACGACATGATTAGCGGTTTGAGATATGTGAAAAAAAAAGGAAACGAAAGAGAAGAAAGACAAGTCAAGAAAAGAGACAAGAAAATTGTTATGGTAGCTCAAGTAGGGGCGGATGCTAGAAAACCCCTAGGAAGGGACTAAAGCTGGATTAGCTCTAATACCAAATGGTACCGGAGAAAAACCAAAACCACTGCTCAAAATTGCAACAATTATTACGAGACGCCACAATGTTACAATGATAACTTTTCAACAGAAAATAACATAATACAAGTATACAATAAAAGACCATGACTGTTGAAATTAAGAAAAAGACAATAACATAAAACAGAAACACCCTCTGCGACGGATACGACATGGCCGAGGGTGGAACAGTGGTGTTGGTGGTCACGGGAAACAGACCGAGAAGGTTGGTGGCTGCTAGGAGGAGTCGAACAGGTGGCCTGAAGGTGTTGGAGAGGAACGACGGCCTTCTGGAAATGAACCGGAGGGGGCAGCAAGGCCGGCGGCTTCTAGGAGGGTCGGTCAAGGGTAGGGAGGAGCTGGAAGGGTTGCTTGTAGGTGGTTGATGAGGAAGACAACAGCTGAACAGAGTTTTGAGGGAAGGAGTAGGGCTGGTAGCAGTGGAAAAGGGGCTGCGGTGGCTGGCAGCAGTGGAAGAGGGGGATGTGGCAGGGAAACAGAAGCAT